AAATGAATACTTTGACCCTTTTCTGAGCAGGTGGATGACTGTTTAAGCCAGTGTTTCTCAACCTTGGCAGCTTGAAGATGTGTGGACTTCAGCTCCCAGAATTCCCCAGCCAGCTGGGGAACTCTGGGAGTTGAAGTCCACACATCTTCAAGCTACCAAGGTTGAGAAACACTGGCTTAAACAGTCATCCACCTGCTCAGAAAAGGGTCAAAGTATTCATTTCAGCTGGAAGCATCCTGCAGGATGGAAAGGGGTGGGAGTGATCAAAGGTGGCAATTCTGGCAGCTCAGGACCTTGTCATGGGTTCTACCTCCACCCCTCCATGCTAGTGTGCAAGCACACCAACCATGGGTTCTCAAAACTGCCTTGCCCGCCAGGGGTGCCAACAACCCCAAAATGGTGAGCGTGACAGGCAACTGAAGCCACGTCTCCTTAACTCCATGGATATAAAAAGGGTTGGGACTTCAATCGCCAGGCTGCCCAGCATCTTGACATTCCTAAACCCCACCCCAGCGATGCCCCACGCGCCAGCCATAAACACCGTGCACCTGTCTGCAACCTCCTGGCTAGTTTTCTCACCCATGCTGAATCCTGAACCCAGATGGATGAAGTGCCACTTCTGGATTTGCACAGCATGCGGTGACCCAAATGAACATACTGTCACTTCACAATATGCCTCATTCACATCCCTTCCATTTTACATAGTATATGTTGTAAAGCGTAATTTCACTTATGTTATACAGCATACATTTCACTTGAGCAGCAGAGAATAGTGGTGCCCCAGGACTGGCCCTGGGGAGACCCAGATTGTAGTTCCCTCCCTGCCAACCACAGAAACTCCCTGGGAAATTTTGAGCCAGTCCTCCTCTCTCAGCCCCACTTATTGCAGGGTTGGTGTTGAAAAGGCAAAAAGAGGAAAGAGAAGAGCTCAGTTCTGCTCCTGAACAAAAGGTAAGATATCAATCCATCCATCCGTCAATCACTCAGTCATTCAAACGCATACATACCATTGGATTATAATCCTTGGATACCATCCGTCCAAATCGTGTTAGGAAAATGTCTGCTTTGATAGCAAAGCCATCAGCAAGAAGGGGAATCGTCCATCAGCCAGGGGGACAATCTGGCATAATCGCTGTTTGTTTGCTTGATGCGCACATCCAGAGCCCCCAGCCCACTCTACTATAGCTGGTCATGCAGGCGAAGGATTGCGCCTGAAATCAGTGGCCGTGTCTACCTTGGCCCTCCAAACACATCAGCTGTAGCCTCTGCCATGCCCGAGCGTGGCACGAACCAATCCCCCGCTTTCGGCACGTCCAGATGCCAGGCCAGAAAGCACTCGAGGACCTTTCGTCAGCACCAAGGTGGGAACGGCAGCTGCACCGTTTTCCATGAAGGGAAACAGGAAACGTAGACTTTCCCAGGGTCTCCGGGGGAGTTCACAGCAAAAAGGGGGATATAAATGGATTCCGGAAAGGAGAAGGAGCGTAGCTTGCGTTCTGCGGGAACGGCAGAGCATTCCTCCAGAGGTCCACACGGCTGGATCTTCCCTCTCATTGCCGACTCAGAAAGAAGTGCTTAAAAGGAGGCAGTTTAGGTCCTCTGTGGGTGACTGACCATCATGCCTCCAGAAGGGGAAATCTGTACAGCGGCCAACCCAGCCTGGTTCTCGTAAGATGGGCTGGATTCCATTCCCAGCCAGAAGGGCCCCACACCAAGCAAGGGCCCCAAACTTATGCAGCGGGTCTTTCCCCCAATCTGGAATAAATCAGACTTTATGGAGTCTCTCCTCTTCCTGCTCCAATCTGTGCTTGAAATCTTTTTTCAGCAATCTGTCAGATCTGCCCAGATCTGGGTGTGAGGCTTCCATTAAGGGACACACGTTTTAAAATAGCTCACTGCCCCCAAACGACATTTCCGCTACAAAAAATAAAAGGGATGATGGGAATAAACCGTGGGGAGTGTAAGGCTCCTTACAATCCGATTTTCATTTCCTTTTTTTTAACTTCCTAGGCTGCTTCTCACCAAAGGTTTTGCTCCTGAGTCAAATCCAAGACACGCTGAAGACCAGAAAATTGGGCTCCTTGCTATTCAATCGCCATCAAGTTTAAAAGAATGCAGCTCCATGATGACATTGACGCAACTCGGTTGTATTCCTGTGGGTCTAAATCAAAGTAATGCCGTTTTGTTCTGGATCAGCTGTTCAGTTTTGCTCTATTGCAGTGTTTCTCAACCTTGGCCACTTGAAGATGTGTGGACTTCAACTCCCAGAATTCCCCAGCCAGCCATGCTGGCTGGGGAGTTCTGGGAGTTGAAATCCACACACCTTCAAGTGGCCAAGGTTGAGAAACACTGCAATAGAGCAAAACTGAACAGCTGATCCAG